TGAATAAACAGCATTACTCTAGAGAAGCCTATTTAATGAAGTTCCTAGTGGCTGTCCCCTCTTTATATTTTTTTAAAGCCTAAATATATGTATGTATAACATATGTGTGTGTCTCAAAGGCACAAGGATAGGACACCTAAGATTGAACTGTATTTAATGCCCAGGAACCTACATTCCTAGTGACAACTAGTAACACTGTAAAAGTTGTAAAAGGTTCTACTTAGTTTCAATGTGAATGATCAACAAAATTTAGCTTAAACAAAGACTGTATTTTTATTTTTAATGACAATAAAACAAAGTAGTGACAAAAATTTGCAACATGGCAATGAAACATTAACATACAATCAAAATCTACTGGTAAAGTACGCATTTTTATTAACTAGTGACGAATGTAAGATTTACTAAAATTTTAAATCTTAAAACACTTAAATAATGTGTTTTATAAATATATCCCTATTCATCTAAAGTTAGAGTGTCAGATTACAGTGGAAAAAAAGTCAGATTATTAAGTTAAAAAATTCTACTACCATGTTTTAAAAGTAATATTGAAAATATTAAATTCTTATGTTAGTTGCTTAATGTTCATTAAAAACATGACATGATTGACTGAATGTTTAAGAGCAAAATTAAAAAGAAAAAATCTTGGATCTGTTCACCGTATTTTCTCCCCAAACTTGGATTTCATCAAATCTTGCCATTTTAGGAATTTTGTAATTTAACAAACGATTGGATCCAGAATGCCTCATTATTATAGGAAAAGGAAAGGAAACACATAGAAAATTACAAAAGTTTACATGAAAAACTGTTAAAATGGCTCATGTATTAGCTGAGCACAATGATCTAGCAATGGCAAAGCACAAACGTTTAATTTAGACAAGGTCTAACAATTTGAAGTGTGGCTGCTACTCGTCAGACCTGCAAACCCAGTTCTCCGGTTTTAAAGCCAGAATACCAAAAACTGAGTAAAATGCTTTTAGAGCCAGAATACTAAATATTGAGTAAAATGCATCTCAGCCTCTGGAAAAGGAATAATTTTGTATGAAAGGATATTCAAATAGCCTTTCATTGAGCGACCACAAAAGGCCTTGAAGATTTACATGATTGAGCTGGAATTCAATGCCAAAGACAAGAGGAAGCATTTTTTTTTTTCTTCTGGGTTGCACAAAGAGATATCCATAATTAAACATCACTCTTCCCTAGGGCAGCATGTTTTCTTATATTGACAAGCAAAATGAGGTATTTCAAATCACGCATTGTTGGCATATAGTCAGCTTTTGCATTGCTATTGTTTTAATGTATTTCTGGCTATTAGGCATTTGTCTATTTTTGGTCAGTGAGGCATGCATTTTAAAGAATTCTGGTTTTGCATAAAAGGCTGTAGTTATGTTAGTGGAATTACACTTATACAACAGTATCTTAAGAATAATTACAGTCTTATTTTGGCTGGTCACACCACATTTTATAGTTAAAGGAGAGCGGCTATAACTTTCATGTAATTAGTACAATTAAAATTAACTATAAAAGGAAAAAACTTTCAGAAGTCCTTTTTCAACTCAACTTGATGTTTTACTTTGTCTTATTTAACACAGCTAGTTAAATATACCCCACCCTAATCCTATGCTATGTTGGGAAAATGCCAAACAAACCAAGTTTGCTTAACATTCCATCAATTAAGTCAGAGCCTAATGGTAGATTACATATTCAATAACTCTTTTGTTCTAGATCAAAGAATGCCACATTTTTTCAGCCTGATCCTACTGTAATACTAAACTACCAAAAAGCAGCAATTCTTTTTACAATTTACCTTCTGTAAGAGTTTCCTCTCTTTTCTTATCTGCACCCTACTCAGATCTTCATTTTCTTAAATTGTAAAGAATATATTAAACTTAAGTCAAATATCAAAAAATTAATGTGGTTTTGTTTTCTAAGGTGACCATTTATCTAAACTATCTCCTGCTCTCTATTCAAAAACATCACTTCCAAAGATTAACTCTGTTTAATAATACTGAGGTGTATAATTAAATTTTTTAAAGGAATTTACCACTATCATATAAATCCATGTAAACTTATGTGGCTATTACTGGAACTTACAAAAGATCTCACTTATCCACCCATCCATGTAAAAATTATGTCCTATAAAAATGCCGATTGACTGGTGGGAGGCCTGAGCTGTGGTTACGGAAGTCAAAAGACCATGAGCGGACTTCATGTTTTGAAGCCTCTTCAGACCATCAACCTCATGATACAGGGTTCATAGAGACGGGGAGACCAACTGCAATTTAAGCTAATCAAAAAACATTCTAATTCAAGTGAAACTGCCTTTCTACAGCTTTCAAAGTCACCAGATAAAATGCCTAGAAGCCCAGGTGTCTCAAATAACTCCTAAGAATTGGGCCACCTGGGTGGCTCAGTCGGTCAAGCCCCCAAGTCGGGGCTCCACACTCAGTGTGGAGTCTGCTTGAGATTCTCTCTCTTCCTCTCCCTCTGCCCCTCCCCCTGCTCTCTCTCTCTCTGAAATAAAATTTAAAAAATAACTTCTAACAATTGCATTCCTAGTTTTTTGTTTGCCTTACTAGCAAAAATCAGAGGCAATATGACACCTGCATTTTATGTGTCCTTTCAAAATGCGTTTCCAACACACTTATGAATGAGATTTAATGATTTTTCTCAGGGTAAGGCTCCATCGTGGCCGGTGACAGCTATTTCATTCAGCCAAGTCCTCTCGAATCATCTGGATCTACAAACCCGATTAATTCCTCCTAAGAACTGTTTTTTTGCCTCTCAAAGGAAGTATATACAACTCCTGGGCTGGGGAAAGCAGCTGCTTCAGTTATCAGGAAAATTATGGGATCCCCAGTTTTACTGAGTGTTTCCTATTGTTAAAGGGCTTCATGTAAATAACCCCCTTTAATTCTCACGAATCTTATAAAGCAGGTGCCTTACCAACCCCTTTCACAGATGAGGAAATCAAGCTTACATCTCAGCTCAACGCCACTTCCTCAGGAAAGCCTCTCCTACCTCCATGCCATTTCACTCCAGACCAGAGCTCATTTCTCCGGCATAATGTTTCCCAGCACTCAGGACTTCTGCAAGCTTGCCTCTAGCAAGCTTTGCTATTATGTATGTATACGGTCAGTTAAATAATGTCTATCTCTCCCACTTAATGAATGTAGACGAGTGGTTCTCAAAATTTGGTGTGTACCCAAATCACCTGGACGGATTCTTAGAAAGTGGTCACTGGGTCTCACCCCCAGCATATCTGATTCACTAAGTCTAGAGACAGGCTGGAACCCTGGAGTAACAGGTCCCAGGGGCTGCTGCTACCAGACCTGGACCGACCCAGTACAGCACTTCTCAGCCCTGCACGAACATTGCAACATCCCCATCCAGCAATCGAAATGACATTAAAAACAACCAATGCCCACACCCCACTCCCTGAGGTTTTGGTTTAATTCTGCTAAGGGAGAACCCAGAATGCCTTATCCCAAATACTGTATTCTTTCACTAAAAAAACTGTTTATCTAAAAGTCAAATTTAACCAGATGGCCTGCACATTTTTATTTGCTGAATGTGGCAACCCTGCTTGTGAGTCCTGCTGTAACGTAACAGGTAGCACATCATATATATTATGTCCGTTGATAGGACCATAAGCTGACCTTCCACCACTGCACAGCAAAAAAAGGATGGGGCTAAATAAGCGGAATTTTTAGACCGAAGAATTTTTTTTTTCTGGAGGATTAGAACTTAGAAGTAGTTACCAACACATCGTAAAAGCTTATCAGAGATCGTTTACAAATAGGGCAAATTCTCCATGTCAGATAATTTAACGTGATGATTAAATGACTTCCAGGTTCCGTGAAGCCCCGAGGCTGGGAGTCGCATATTGGGCCAGCAGGGTGACAGTGGGGCATCAGTGGGCATCAACAGCACTGCTCTGACATCAATCAGTGAGTCACCTGGACACAGCTACTGCTAGGACTTGGCGCAGAGGAGGTGCCCTCTTACATATCAAAAGTAGGTAAAGATTATCTATTTAATAAATACCCCAGAAAAGAGAAAACGCTGAACACATGGCTGACTCTGATAAGGCAATTCTATCTTTTTCATATCAATGTAGGGAGTCTTGTGCAGTTCTCCAATTTCAAAGTAAGATCAGTGATTTCATGTCTTACATAAACGGAGATATTAAATTTGCATTTTTGATGCTGAAAAGGGACTATTTAATTCCAGCTTGGCATGTTTACCGCATAATGGGTAAACCAGGGATTTCAAAATTGAGAATCCTCTGGGCTCAGTAACAGTCATGTAGCCTTCTGCTTCCCCATTTAAGTAAACTGCCAAGTCTCTGATTCAAGGACAAGGACTCCATGTAAGGGCATTAAATATTAAAACACATTCTTTCATGAATACTCATAGAATTCAATCATTTCAACAATCATTACTACCTTCCACTTTGTGCAATGCTTACTTGCCCAACTTAACGTGACACTTTTCACCTAATTCAGGATCGTAAGAACTGTTTATAAAAACAGCTTGCTGAGGGGCACCTGGCTGGCTCAGTCAGTAGAGCATGCAACTCTTGATCTCAGGGTCATGAGTTCCAACCCCACATTGGGGGTAGAGTCTATTTAAAAATAATAATAATAAAACTTTAAAAAAACAGGTTATGGAATAATTGCATGGGCATTGGAGTAAATTCCAATTCCAGCAACCTAATGACAGAACACAGAAATCTACCTGATTCCCCAAGACCAAGTATAATAGTGTCAATAGGCAGAGAGGGATAGAAAGATTGTCACACCAAGCTTACGGTTGGTCGTACATTCACATGACTTATTTCAATTCACCTAACTTCAAGCAAACAACACAAAAATCACTTCAGATTTAGTTTCTCTGAAGTCATCAATGTCTGATCCTTTTAAAACAGATGTTTCAAAAAATAAGACCTGTAATTGTTTAAACATTGACAATCACTGATTTCTAATGTCAGGATAGCTTACCAAATCCAAAAGCATTAGAACCTCCAATGCTCTGTGAAGCCTGAACACTTGTAGATGTGTATAGTCCTGTCACCAGCAAGCCGTCAAAGAAGGTGCTTGTTGAAATTGTCACTGAAATGCAGGAAGGGAAAAAGAAAAGAAACCTCAATTAATACAATCAGAATACTGAGATACATTTCTAAAGAGTTAAACATTGTCAAAACAATTTTACTCATTATTAAAAAACTATTTTTATACTATTGGTAGTTAGTATTTTCTTTATATTAGGAATTCTTTATATTAGGAGCAGAAAAAAGCTCAGAACTCTAGTATCTGTAATTGCTGGTCCTAAATTTAGTACATTAGATCTATCTTCCCACATTCATTTACACGTTCCCCAGCTATATGCAAAATCATCTGAAAATAATGTAGTATTGAATAGCTAGCTTCCCCACCTCCATCACCACCCCTGAAGGCAGTCAAAGGCATTGCTGGAGTTTTGGCATTGCGATTAAACACTTTTTTTTTTTTTGAAGTATTCCATACTGTGGGAAACAATCTTACATCGGCTGGAAGAAGAACAATAAGATGCACTGTATTTCTTATTGTGTGTCTACATTTCATAGATGAATCCCCTGAAGTTTTTCAACAAAAGCAGACTAATTTGCATGAAGACAGTCTTTTTCCTTCTGAGAACAAAGAAGGAAGACCACTGCATGCCTTAAGTTCCAGAACAAAGTCTGCAAGAGGAGTCCAAATGATTTCATAACCAGAAAATCAGGATGTTCCTGGGAAAAAGGGGTCAAATACAATGTATCTGTATGCCACTCAGGTTTGGCTTCTTACAATTTTGTCTTTCTCACCACCCTAAAATAATGATTATAATTTCCATCTTGACATAATATTTTCTCCTGCATTGGTTTTATAAGATTAAGATGATGCCATTTGTAGGAAGCAGCCAGGAAAAGGTAATATTATTTTGGTAGTGCACAGTACAAGACTGTCATCATGCTCGGTGGCAGTTAGGAGAATGGCCAGAGTCACATTAACTTTAATGAGAATGTTTAAATTAAACTCCAGGAAACCCAGTGAATAGAGCTAAAGGGTCTGAAGCATCCACATTACAAAGCATAAAACAAGACTCGTAGATCAATAGAACAGCCTGACATCATGCTACCCCCACAACAGCATTGGATATTGGAGTAAATCACCTTCACATTCTTTAATAATAGCTAATATCTTGACTGCCTGCACGTAAACCACTCAGCTGGGCATTGAGCTAAGTAGTTAACATGTATTATCTCATTATCAAAACATTTCTATAAAAGGGGTACTATTATTACTCCCAGGATACAAATGAGGAATTTGTGGCACAGAGCAGTTTAGAACCTTGTTCAGGACCATCTGATATCATCTAAACATGTCTGATGCTGATTACCCAGCATCTCTCTTGTCTTCTCTCTGCCTGCACACCACCCCCTCCCCAACTCCCAATCCCACAGAAGCCAAGTGACATGACCAAACCCTTGTTTAATACACTATTTTCCAGATTATTCACATGCATGAGGAGTATTTGAAGAAAAGGACAGTAAAAGCTGCAGGACTCAGTGTCACTGTTACTAGAGAGGAAGAGGGTTGAGGGTGGCCGAGAGGTGACCCCTACAACATGGTGGATGGAGCCCTAGTCTGGGTAAGGGGTGGGATCCGGGCACCAGGTACTTATCTGCTACTATCTGTTCTTGAGCAAAACCACTTCATCTCTTAGAGTCTCAATCTCCTCATTTATAGAATCACACCCTAATCATCACACACCTAAACTCCATCAAGGCAGATATCGTGTTTTGTTCAGTAGTACATCTCAAGCATCTGGAACAATTCCTGACACTTTTGGGTGTTCAATAAATACTTACTGGAATATGTATTAACGAATAACTCATTCATACAAAAATGGCACAAGGCTGTCTTATCTTCAGCTCGTTTCCAGAGGAAAAGTATGTTATGAATCCTAGATTTTATATGTCAAATGTTTTGCCTACTCCAGATTCCTACAGTTGGTTCTATTGCTGCCTCCACCCTTTGGTTCAGTGAGTTATCTTGGCCAAGGTAAGAAGTGCTTAAACAGCTTCTGTGTCCGCATCCAGTGGGGTTTAGAATTAAGTTGCTTTCTATTAAATTAACTATACTGGCCTCTGGACTCTAAGGTAATGTCTTAGGCTGTCCTTTCCAGCAAATCAGACCCAACCTGCAGTTCTCACTGTGGACCCATGGGACCCTGCTTTTACCCACTTCCTCTCAATCCACTCTAGTCCAGTAAGACAGCAGCAATTCTGTATTAAGTGCACAAATATAACCCCTGTGGACTCCTCTCCATTCCTTTATGCTTCTACTCTGGTTATTATTCCCAAGAAACTAAAAAAATATAAGAGTTTTATGAGTTAGGGAGTGAGGCAAACGTGAATCTGAATCTCACCTCTCTCTACCTCTGATCAGTGCGTGACCTTGGCTCACATTCCTCATTTACAAAAAAAAATGATACTATCCAATTCACTGTAAGAATGAAAAAAAAAGCTGAGTCAGCTTTGGAATCACCTTCTCCCATATGCTGCATCTAGTCCATCAGTAAATTCTATTGGCCCTGCCTTCAGAACATACCCAGAATCTGATCACTTACTACGCTGTTCTAAGCTACCTTCATTTCTTACATGGATTATTGCATTAGACCTCAATCTGGTCTTCCTGTTTCTACCCTCCTCTCTCTAGAGTCTATTCTCAGTATAAGAGTCGGAGGAATTCTTTAGGAACATCCATTGGATCATGTCACTCCTCTGCTTACAGCTTCCCTGCTAAGTCAATGTCAAAGTCTTTACAGTGGCCTCCAGAGTCCTACATGACCTGCCTCTATTCCTTCTCTTTCCTCATCTCCTTCCGCTCTCCTCCTGGCTCATCCCACTCCAGGCACACTAGCCTCCCTGTTGTTGCTCAGACGTGCCCAGTCTTTGCACCAGCACCTTCCTCTGCCTTGGACTCTCCTCCTTCAGATTATCAAATAATTATCACCTTCTAGCCTATTATAATCATACATTTACTCACAATGGTTTTTATTATGTTTACTGTCCTTCTCATTCTTCAGAATGTGAACTCCATCAAGGCAGATATCGTGTTTTGTTCAGTAGTACATCTCAAGCATCTGGAACAATTCCTGACACTTTTGGGTGTTCAATAAATACTTATTGGAATATGTATTAACGAATAACTCATTCATACAAAAATGGCACAAGGCTGTCTTATCTTCAGCTCGTTTCCAGAGGAAAAGTATGTTATGAATCCTAGATTTTATATGTCAAATGAATCCCACCTGGAAAAACCACATGGAAAAAAAAATAAGAAAGAAAAGTTGGCTATTTATATATTTAAAATGTTTCCCAGAATGCAAAATGATCGATGCGGGACCAAGAGGCCAACTGAAGACATCTGTAAAAAAAGGCAGATCACCTTAAGTATACATACATTCTCACAGGCTATGTGTTTACACAAATCATCTAAACGAAGAGTTCCCTATTAGAAACTAACTGATTATAATCTATTTCTCCATTTGCTAGAGTTGGGAGTTTATTTTTGAGGGGAAAAATGAGATTTGCCTTTGAAAAACTGTCTTGACAAGCATTCCGGCTCCTTCTTTAAACAGATGTAATGTATAATCCATATGTGAACTGAAAATCAGTCTCTTTGCTTGAGAGAGAGGATATGTAGCCCAAACTCTTACGAGATATGAGACATAGCCTTTCGATCACCGGGTTCCCTTTTATTCAGACAACGGGTCCAACTTCTGCATTCGAAAGACATCTGACACAGTTTGGATTCCCTGATAGCTTGCAGGAAACTTCAGAATGTCTGCAGCCTGCATGTTTTTACTGACAAGAACACCAGCAGCAAACACAGGAACAATCTGAGCAAGATGCTGAAAACTTTACGCCAAGGCACTCCGACTTTGAAACTATGTCAGGAATACACATCTCTCTGTCCTTCGCTTTCCCTTTCATCAAATGCTTCCACTTCTCTCTACTTGCAGCCTCTGGTTAGTCTGTCAGGGTTTCCTAAACAAACAAACAAAAACCCCACAGAATTACAAATAATTGTCTCAGGCATCGAGGCTGCCCTGGCTCGTTGTCCCTCACCTGGGTGATTCTGCATCATCAGTCACTGCCAGTTTCTGTTTTCACACTTAATAATTACCTTACCCTCTGATATCTTCCTGATTCCTTTCGCTCAAGCTTCATGGGACCCCCAATGTGCACTAGTTCTTACCCTTCCTATGTGCCCTGACTTGACTTTCGTTCCTCTAATTCCACTTGGGACTCACCCTTCAAGCACTATCTGGCCTTCTCCAGTCTTAGCTCATCAGTTACATCCACACACTGCTGCCATCCAGGCAATTGAAACAATCTTCGTGAAAGCAGAAGAGTGATCTCTGATAAATTGTTTTAAAAGTTTACTATAGGAGGGGTGCCTGGGTGGCTCAGTCGTTAAGCGTCTGCTTTCGGCTCAGGTCATGATCCCAGGGTCCTGGGATCGAGCCCCTCATAGGGCTCCCTGCTCAGCGGGAAGCCTGCTTCTCCCTCTCCCTCTCCCCCTGCTTGTGTTCCCTCTCTCGCTGTCTCTCTGTCAGATAAATAAATAAAATCTTAAAAAAAAAAACTTATAAAAGTTTACTATAGGGGCACCTGGGTGGCTCAGTCGGTTAAGCATCTGCCTTCGGCTCAGATCACGGTCCCAGGGTCCTGGAATGGAGCCCCGCGTCAGTCTCCCTGCTCGGCGGGAAGCCTGCTTCTCCCTTTCCCTCTGCCTGCCTGTCTGCCTACTTGTGATCTCTCTCTCTGTCAAATAAATAAATAAAATCTTTTAAAAAAAAGTTCACTATATACACAGTATCAATGTGGCTCATGATAAAAAAAAAATGAAGCTCACATCGCTGAATATAAAATTATGTTAATATGTACATGAACTAGAAGGAAAATTTACAACTTTCATATTTTTGTAAGTTTCTGATTCAGAATGTTATAGTCCCACTACATAATTTAAAATGTTGCAAAGCTAATGTCATTTAAAAAATGTTTCCTTTAAAAATATTTTAT